TTAATTGATGTCATGTGGCTTAGCTCTCCACTGCAGTTTCTCTAATTTTCATGTAATTGGGCTGGTGGAGGCTGGGTTAGAATGTATTATTAATTCTGAGATCTGAGTGTTGTAGTTAAATGACTGTCTGCCACCACGCAGGACTTCACTGAAGGAACAGAAAAGAAACAGCATGTCAAGTGACTTGTGGAAAGCCTTCTTGTATCATTTATGTGGAATAATTGTAAACAAACACAAAATTCACACCTAAGTTTGCTAACTATCCCTGTTATCAAAGAAGCCTGAGAAGTAGCTGCGAAATATCTTTGTTTCCTAAGTGTCTGAGAGACTCACAAGAACAAGTAGTGGTATAATTCATGATCCATTCATGAATGTGGTGGCGTCCACCCCATTATACCAGTAGCTGCCTCCTTTTAACACTTTCAGCCCCAGAGAGAAAGATAGAGGCACATGCAGCACGAATTGCTTTATCAGAGTGTGGTCTCACTCCTCACTAAACACACTCAAATCTCTCAGGGACAGACTGCTTATCCCTGTGGTATCATTAGTAACAAACCCTAACAGAATTGAAGACGCCACCCTTTACGTCATGTCCTAGCCATTCGCTGGCATAATGGAGTCCGAAGTTTATGTTAAAACCCCAGAAGTTCTGGGGCTCCTCAGGAAACTCAGATGCCAAAGTCAACAGGATTTCTTCATGCTCCGCAAAATTCCTGGAGACTTCCAGTACAAACACACTGCAGACCCCTGGGCTGGGATGCCCTGCCTTGGGCAATTTTATTGCAATATGAAATGTCTCCCTGCCAGAGTAGAATAGCCCACTGGATCTTCCATTCACTATCCCAATGAACGCGTGTCATTTGAAATAGGAAGACTTCAAAGTAATTGCGACTTTAAAGGCAGCCATCTGTTCTCTGGGCAGTTAACTTGAAGTAGAAATAAGATGATCACTTTTACTACTCTGTGCAGCAATGTTTCCGGGGTTCCGAGCCCTTTTTATAGCTACTTTTGATCATATGTATCTTTTAAGCTCAACGTTTTATTGAAATAGTGTGAGAAAGCAATGTACTATACCTTTAAATATTAGAAAGTATGTTTTACAGCAAAACGGAGAATGTATATTTATGGCATATATTCTACTCGGAAACATTTTTTGATGAATGAATCAAAAAGAGAATAATCATCGGCCGGAGTGATACACGACTTTGCTTACAGTGTTGAAACTAGAATGATGGAGCCATCCTAAAAGACTAATTAGATTCCATCTAATTTCCATAGAACATCTAAAAGGAAGTTTTTAATGAAATTTACAAAGTGTGTATGTGTGCACGTGCACTGTGTCCCTGTGACCAAGGAGGCCGGACCTGGGCGTCAGGTCCTCTGAAGCTAGACTTACAGATGGTATTGAGACAACTGACCTGATGAGATCAAAACTCGTGTTCTCTGGAAGGGCAACAAGTGCTTTTAACCACTGAGTTGCCACTCCAGCCCCCAAAGGCAAGGTTTTGAGAAAAGCTCACAAATCTTAGGAAAGTCCCAAAATACAGTAGAGGAAAATGTGTGTGTGTGATTTGGTTTTAATGTTATTTAAAAGTTGCTTTGAATAAAAGCTAAAAATTGTTTCTAAGAAAAAGATCACTTAATTTTAATAATTAAAAAAAAAAAACAGAAGGAGGTGTGTATGAACCTAAACTGCAGTTGATTCTAATCAGCAGAGGGACGAAGGATGGCTCTAGCATGTTTGCTGCATGTCTCCTGAGCAAGTGCGCATTTTACTCATGGGAGGAAAAGCCACCACGGTGAATAGCAAGCATCCTAGTCACTCTTTGTCTTTGCTCTGCAGTGACACCTCAGAGAGCTACCAAGACCCATTTCAGAGAATATTGATTGAACACAAGCTATTAACCCATTAATGCTTGCTTTAGATTGTCTGCTGTAAAATCTAGGGATGTTTCCTTTGGGGAAAAGTTGAAACTATCAAAGTCCAAACAATAGTTTATTCAGACAGTCTGCCCTGGTGTCCAAGCTGTTTCCTATCAAAAGGCTCCACCTTCCCCCCCCCTTCATCACGCGCGTGCACGCACAAAGACAGGCATGCACAAACACACACGCACACACACTTGCACGCACACACACTCGCACGCACACATGCACGCACACATGCACGCACATGCACACACAGACTCGCACGCACACATGCACGCGCGCACACACACACGTGCACACATGCATGCATACACACACTCTCACAAACACACACACGCACATGCATGCACAAACACACACACATATGCACAAACACACATGCACAAACACATGCGCACGTGTGGGAATGGTGTGATAGGAGTGGCAGCTGGAGAGATGGCTCAGCAGTTATGGTCACTTTGTCAAAAGATCCAGGTTGATTCCCAGCACTCAGGTGGTGGCTTACACAGACACCAGGCATGCATATGCATGTGGTACACAGACATACACGCGGGCGAATCACCCATACATACAGAATAATAAGAAACTTTAAAAATAACAAAAATTGAGAAAAATAATACAAATGATAAACAAGGACAACCACGGGACTTCGCCGTCTAATGCAGACCAGCCTTGAATTTATGATCTTCCTGACTTGGCCGCCCAAACGCTGCAATCACAGGAGCGCTTGAAAGGAAGGGTTTCATCTCCCTCCCCAGTACTAAGGATTGAACCAGCGACCTCATAATACTACGTTAGCCATCTATACAGAACGATAGCCCCAGGGCAAAGGAGATACATGTATATCATATTAGATACATCATTTGCTATTAATCTGTGGGCGTGGACGTGGGTGTGGATGTGCACTGGTACAGATAGGAAGGCAAAGGACAATGTCCAGGAGTTTGTTCTTCCCACTCTGGGGTTCAGGGCTTGTATGACATTGCCTGAGAAGGCATCTTGCTGGTAAGGTGATTTGTCTGTTTTCTTTTGCTTCATTTTTATGGTATTGGAGATTAAACCCAGGACTTCACATATGCTAAGCAAGGGTGTGCCTACTGATCTAGATGCCAGCTTAAGGTTTACTTATTCCACCAAGTATGTCTCAAATGATCAGCACATCACAAGTCCACATAGTTCCTTCATGTACAGGATCACCGTGATCTCACTGACCCCAGAATCACCGTGTCCTCACTGACCCCAGCATCACCGTGTTCTCACTGACCCCAGCATCACCATCTTCTCACTGACCACAGCATCACCGTGACCTCACTGACCCCAGCATCACTGTGATCCCAGTATCGTGTCCTCACTGACCCCAGCATCACCGTGGCCCCAGCATAACCATCTTCTCACTGACCCCAGCATCACCATGACCCCAGCATCACCGTGTTCCCACTGACCCCAGCATCACCATGACTCCAGCATCACTGTGTTCTCACTGATCCCAGCATCACTGTGACCCCAGCATCACCGTGTCCTCACTGACCCCAGCATCACCGTGACTCAGCATCACCATCTTCTCACTGACCCCAGCATCACTGTGTTCCCACTGACCCTAGCATCACCGTGATCCCAGCATCACCGTGTTCTCACTGACCCCAGCATCACCGTGACTCAGCATCACCATCTTCTCACTGACCCCAGCATCACTGTGTTCCCACTGACCCTAGCATCACCGTGATCCCAGCATCACCGTGTTCTCACTGACCCCAGCATCACCGTGACCCCAGCATCACTGTGTTCTCATTGACCCCAGCATCACCATGTTCCCACTGACCCCAGCATCACTGTGTTCTCACTGACTCCAGCATCACCATGTCCTCACTGACCCCAGCATCACCGTGACCCCAGCATCACCGTGTCCTCACTGACCCCAGCATCACCGTGACTCAGCATCACCGTGTCCTCACTCTCCTTAGCATCACCGTGACCCCAGCATCACCGTGTCCTCACTGACCCCAGCATCACCGTGTTCTCACTGACCCCAGCATCACCGTGTTCTCACTGACCCCAGCATCACTGTGTTCTCACTGACCCCAGCATCACTGTGTTCTCACTGACCCCAGCATCACCGTGTTCTCACTGACACCAGCATCACCGTGTTCTCACTGACCCCAGCATCACCATGTCCTCACTGACTCCAGCATCACCATGTCCTCACTGACCCCAGCATCACTGTGACCTCACTGACCTTAGCATTACCGGGTCCTCATTGGCTCATTTTGTTTTTTAACCCAATATTTACTGAGCAGATATTGGGAGTGTGGTCTCCCCACTGAGAATGAGACGCAGATCAAGGAATCCATATCTCTGAGTCTCAGAATGTAAACCTCGAGTTCTATTTCCAGGTGAACAGTGAAAAGCACGAGCAGTTCTTTCCGAAACTCAGGACTTTTGTGTCACTGACACCCCCAAGCTGGTGTGTGTGTCTCAGTCTGGATAGCTGTAGCTGATGCGCTGCCTCTGCCTGCCAACAGTGTCTGCTAGTCGCATCATGTGGGCTTCAGGACAGTTTCCTTACAGACCTAGGGGATTTGACTGGAGAATTCAAACTAGGAGAGGGAAAGAAAGTGATGGGTATGCTTAGAGTAAAAATGTCTGACTTACCTGCAAAAAACATTGTACAAAGAAGTCAGTACAAGAAACATTTTTTTTCATGGCCCAAACAAATAAAAGGCATAATAAAAGAATCAACTACAATGTCCAAAATTACATCTTTGTTGTACTCAGAAATGTGAATATGTAATATGCAATTTTATGCCCAATAATGAAGACCTAAAAGCAAAAGTTATTTTCAATGTAAACACTATATAGGGACAAAATACCACCTGATTATATTTCTCAATAGTCAGTAGATCAAACAAAGATGTCATTGTCCCTGAGTTGTAATTATTGATCTCTTAAGGTACCTCCTTATTTTCTCTTTCAGATAGTCTTTATTTTATTACAAATATAAACCTCCAGTGAAGAAGAAAGCATTTAAGATAACCCCCACACAATCAGAACAAGATAAAGAAATAGAAAAAGCCAACCTTTATTCCACTTTGAACAAGTTTGTGAATGTCCAAGTAAGGCTCCTTGAAAAGCTCTCCTTCTGGGGTCAGGATCTTCACGTAGCCTTCCTTCTCTAGAATGAAGAGGCGATGGGAGCCATCCCCACTGTGTACAGCGCCCACAGGCTGCCGCAGCCCACTCACGACTTCCTGCACGCAGAAGCAGTTGTGTTTGTATTTTCTAAACAAATCAGAGAAGACCAGTCAGCTCTCCTGATGGAGGTGCAAACAGATGTGTACAATATACTTCCCCAAATGTATTCATTTCCTCAAACAGATGTGCACAGTGTATTTCCCCAAATGCATTCACTTCCTCAAAGAACCAATGGTTTCTTTGAGAAATGAGAAAGGGCTGCTAAGACAGGCATCCTGTAATAGGATTATTTTGGTTAATTTGTATTATCTTTTCAATGGAAAATAGCAAGCTATCCTGTTCTCAGAAAGAAAAGTGAAAACCCCAACGGTCTATTCTGAAATGGCCTTAGCTCATCTTTCAGTGACTATAAGTAAAATTTGCTTTTCCTCACAATAATGAGTTCTTATGAGAAGGCATTTAAGGAGAAAGTTCTAAGATCCATTTATATAAAGAAAAACTGATTTGCTAATGATAAACGTGCTGAATATTTCCATGGTGCGATAAAGCTAACAACAATCATAAAATCCAAGTTGAACACTGTGCCCATAAAATTCCCATGAGTCATGGAGAAGCCAAGCTCATAACATAGGATTAGGAGTCTGAGTATTAAGTGCATTTGAGCTGTGATGCTAGAGGAACAAAGTACTAAGAGGGAGAGGGAAGTTAATGTGTGTGCAGTCTGTGGATCCCGGGCGTGAGCATCAAAATCATCTATCTGTTCATTTTTTCTCTAGGAGTAAAGAGCATTGAGACACACACACACACACACACACACACAGAGAGAGAGAGAGAGAGAGAGAGAGAGAGAGAGAGAGAGAGAGAGAGAGAGAGAGAGAGAGAGGACCGTCGAAGTGTATGGACCTGCTGAGCTCCTCCACCTTCTCGTATTCCTCCATCTGGTCCAGGTAGTTAGATGCTGGCCCTCTGACTTGCTTTCTTGGGAAATCTGGAAAGCACAAGCCTCCATCTTTTCTCGAATAGTAAAAGCAAAACTCATCAGCAGTTGTTTGAAGAAGCCCTTTAAACAGACACGGAGAAAGACTCATTAGAACCATGAAGTGTTCTAGTCAAACCAGCTCATTTGGGCATCTGGCCCTAAGAGGGCTTTGAGAAAGCATGTGAATATTCACAGGAGAAAACCAGGTGTGACACTATGAAAGGGCACCGGGGAAGGGCTGGGGTTCCCTTTTCTCCTTTAAACACATTTAAGAATTCCAGTAAAGTGCAATCTCCTTTCGCGGGGTAAGTTAAAAAGATTGACCTATCCATTCGTATGATGCGTATGTGTGTTCCCTCATGAGCTTACACGTGCCATGTGTGTGCAGGAGCCTGAGGCAGTCAGGAGGGCATCAGATCCCCTGGAAACGGAGTTTATAGACAGGTGGGAGCTGCCAATGTAGGTGCTGGGAACTGAACCTAGAACCTCTGAAAGATCTTTCCAATGAGGGATCTTAACCAGCGAGCTTCTCTCCAGCCCCTGGGCTAACCACTTGAAAGGCTCATGATGGGCACATTGTCAAAGCCACGGTTACTCTCACTGCACTTACTTTTCTCAAGCCGCCTCACTGATCACAGGAAGTATATATGAGCTCATCCCATCACTAATTAGTCTAATTTTCCTACAGTTCTAAATACTCTCCTAAAGAGAACCCATGACAACTAGAAAAGCGATAGTCTGTTGTCCGCCGGTTGTCTAAACACAATGCACTGATGGATGTAACAAATACCCCCACATGAAATTAATGACGTGCTGTGCAGTCTTCAAGCAAGGAATTGTTGCTAAGAGAAATCCTCTTATCCCAAATACTTTGAACCTTTTTACTGTACTTTTATTTTCTCTAAGGGACAATGATAAAATATATTTAAATGATTTTTCTGTCTCTTTAAGGAGAAAATCGGACACACCCCTGAACCAAAACAAAATCACATGGTGTACTGAACGGGTGACAAAATAAAAATAGTTCTTCTCTTTCGTGTTTAAATTGTTGGTGTATCTGTATGCTTGTGTGTGTGCATGTGTGTATATGTGTAGGTGAACATGTGGATGTATGGATGTGTGTGTGTTCATGTGCCTGTGTATGTGAACACAGATGTAGAAAAAACATCTGGTTTTTTCCTCCTCCTTAGATTTTGAGACACAGTCTCTCATCGAATGTGAAGCTCACTGGTTCCATGATACTGACCAGCCAGGGAGGCCCAAGGAGACTCCTCTTTCAGTCTCCCTACCAAGAGGGTCATAGGCCCACTTCTCTATGCTCAACTGTTTCCACGAGTTTTGGGGATTGAACTCAGTTGTTAGGTTTGTACCGCAAGCACTTCACTGACGGAGCCATTCCCTAAGCCCACAAAGATGTTTTTGAAAGTACACCTCTCCTTGAATGTAAAATTAAAAGCTTTAGACCTGAGGAAAACTATAGAAAAAAAATTGAAAACTGTAGTTTGAGGTAATAAGATGCTGGCTTTATTGTGCTTGTCAATAAGGTCTCTTCTGTATCCTGGAGACTTCTGCTTTCTGAGTATGTTTCCATCAGGATCTGGGCAGGGGAAATAACTGCTGGAGTACCTGTCCAGCAACTCAAAGTCCAGGCTTGATCACTGCAAACAAACAAGAAGCAAGTAGCACAAACCCCTGCTTGATCTGTGCTTCCCAGAGTCAAATCAGGTGAGAGCCTTTGTTTGCCTGGAGGAAGGATGCCTCTCACCTCCTATGTGCACCATAGTGAAGTTTCGGTTTTTACATAACAAATTGGACTTTTCATTATGCCTACTAGTCTTGGGATAAAAGTATCGGGTAACTTAGTCTGAGTTTGAAAACTATTTAACAAATTCAGGTTTTGCAAGAATTTCTAAGAACAAGATTTGGAGCTCGGCCAAGCAAGGCTTATCGATGGAGTTTGCAAGACACTCAAAGCTCATTTCCAGGGAGCTTGACCTGGGTCAGCCCAAACCTCAAAACAAACCAGCCTTAGGGTATAAGAGTCCCACACCATAAAGCTTGGGATACATTTTGATCTCACTTTTGGGTAAGATGTATGACCCTTAAATTGCCAACAGAGACTTCAAGAGCAATTTCTGTCTAGTGTGTTGGGAAATATCTTAAGTTGGGGAAGAAGGCCAGAAAAAGTGAGTGCCCTCAGGAGTGTATGCTCTCAGGAATGTGTGCACACAGGGGTCCAGTGTGTACTGTGTGTGCCCTCAGGGGGTGTGCACACAGAGGTGCAGGGTACTGTGTGTGACCTCAGGGGGTGTGCAGTGTGCACTGGGTGTGCCCTGGGGAGCATGTGCACACAGGAAAACGGTATACTGTGTGTAGCTCCAGGGGGCTGTGCACGCAGGGGTGCGTGGAGCTGTGTGTGCCCTCAGGGGTTGTGCACAGGGATGCAGGGTATGGGAAAAGAGGCATAGCAGTTCAAGGATCCTCCTCAGGAGAGGCAATGAGGAGGTGTCCTTCCTTTGAAGATCCACCGGCATCAATCAGACACGGAAAGGAACACAGAGTTCACTCCTCGTTGGAAAATCACTACAAAAGATAACCGCTCTCTCCTCATTCTTCAGTGGCAAAAAAGCACCCAGCTGAAAGCTAACGTGCTAAAAACAAATCTATTTGAGCAAAAATAACAAAAGGAAAATTCAAGTTTGCTTTAAAAGCGATTGCGTATCTGCAAACTGGGACCATCTTGGAAGGGAATGAATGGAACCATGGCTGGTTTCACTTCTAAGAGCACTGCAAGCTGCAGATAAATAGCAGGACACGAGAACTCATTTTTGAAGCGACTATATTAATTTTAAACTAGAATGCATCTTCGTAAACTTTGTGTATCCAGATGCATGGACTCTTGACCAAACACACACCTTTAGTTTCTAAGAAGTCACTGGAGAGACTCTTACTGAAGATGTGTGTTTAGCCCAGCGGGTCTACAAACGCAGAGTATCCTTGCAACTGCTGTATTTGTTAAACCCTTGGTTAAATAACACTTAAATAATTAAGTGTTCAGGTCTGTAGCCATTTTCCAGGATGGTGAATCCAGCGGTGCTGCTGTCCCACAGAGAACCATGTAAAAACACTGACTCGGAAAAAAAAAAACACTGTCCAGAGTGTGTTGTATGTCTTAGCTTCATTTCTCATGATGTACTCAAGAGCAGCGATAGTGTCCCTGGGTTCATCCATCATGCTACTGAATAGGAGAAGAACCCCTGAGTCCCTGGAAGGAAGGCTTTCAATATATCCATCTCGTCCCTCTAGCTTTCTCTCCCTGGGACTAATAAGATACACGTGTTAGGTATCTGATGGAATCAGGGCTGGAGAAACTCAATGGACTCAAACCCTTGACCTTGGCCTCATTAGCCACAGGATTAAACCAATTGAACTAATTGGGTGCAGACCTTTCCCAACAACTGGAACCTACTGCTGGGGCAGGACTGTCTTAAAGTGATAAAAATTATTATGCTAAACAGGTACAAAGTATAAAGCTATGCCGGTGGGTGTCTCTGGTGCCTTTCTCAGAGTGTATTATACCAGCTTTCCTGAATCAAAAGGATCTACTCTGCTCATTCAGACTAAGGAAAAGGTCCATAAAAGTATGCAACTTGGCACTGGAGAAATTTTAGGCAGTTATCTTTCTCAGAAAGTCCACGAATGGAGAACATTTTGATTAACAGTCTAGAGTATACTCAATTTGACTACTTTTGAATCTCTTTCTAATAAGTAGAACCTGATCATTTCTGAATTTAAATTTCTAGAAATGAACTCTCTTCCAGTTTCCAGGAATGTTCTAACATGGTCATGCTTTCTTAAAGCCAAGGCAATGAAGTACTTTGTATCGTGGTTTGAGCAGTACAGGAGAAGGAAAGGAATCTCTGAAATTGCCTTCTCAGGATCCCACTCAGAATTCTCCTTCTTTTTACAAAACGCATTCTCTGGGCTCCTCCTCTCCAGGGTTTTGGTCTGTAGAGAGAAGAGAGCAGCTGACCGGCCTTGACCACACTTCCTATGAAATGGAATCTCCAAGTAGCTGTTTCCCACAGGTTTGCATTTCTGAGAAGGGTAGAGCATAAAACAGACTTAAGGTGACATGATTACCCAGTTGTTCTTGCGACCATTTCTAGAGCCCTGGTGTTCTAGAACAACAGACACACTGCTGGGCTTCCGGCAAGGTTGATGGGTGGGCTCCGGCTTTGCTCATCAGGGAGGGTGGGCCTCCCTCCCAGGGCTCTAGCTGCCTACTAAATCAATGAGCATAAATGCTCCAAAAAGTGGGCTATTACAGCTCACTTCTGACACAAATATTTAAAATGATTATCAGCATGTGACCTAGGAAGGGCGGTCCCTTTGGTTTGTTGCGAAAGTCTCTCTGGGTCTTTAGACAGCATCCTAATTGCCTTTTCTACCTCAGGAGTGCAGCTTTCATGTGGTTATCTTTCCAGGCAGCCTGGGTGGCCACGAAGAGCACTTGACATCTTGATGCACTTCAGCAGTTTTACACATACACAAACTTTGTAGAAAAATAAATTTGTCATTCATCACCACATATGCTGATCTGGGAAGTGATGCGCTTGCAGTTCGGGCTCTGAGCTGTTTGCTGGCCTCATTCAGTTGATCTTGTAGACCTGTTTTGTTCTTTGGGATGCTAAATAACTTTGCATATATAAAGGCCACCGTGGAAGAGTCTGTGAGCGCAGTAATAAAGGAAATGAAGAGGCCAAGTTCTGGGATCACTTGTAACTAAGGTTGTGAAGGCAGAGGTCTAAGCTAGCCCCCACCCCAAGCTCTCCAATCTGTTATTGGTCTCTGTGGGCCACTGAGGCTACTGGGAGCTGCTCCACTTTGCATCGAGGAATGTGATAAAGGGGGGAGGGGGACAGCTAGTTTAAGAAAAGTCAGAAACACAGCTACAGTTTATAAAAACAATAATATTTTCACATCCATTTCGTCTAGGTACGTGTCATGCTATATGCAGAGGGATCAAGCAGACCTAAAGTGTTTATTATTTATAAGGAAGTTTTATTTTTTTGTCTATATTTTTGTGGGCCAAAAAATTTTAAGATGTATACAGCACTTTCAAAGAATTATCTGAGTCACATCCTACTGTACTTAAAGCTTATCTCTTTCTTAAATACTATTTAGTTTTATAAATGGTTCACTGCAGTGATTGATGTGTGAACTTGGACTAGCTAAAAATAATCTGTCTTGTTAAATGATGTTCTTCCTCCATGATTACAACTACACAATTTATAAATGTGTGTGTCTGTCTGTGTGTAGGGTGCATGTGTGTGTATCTGTTCATGTGCAGGGTGTGTGTGTATGTGTTTGTTGGTATGTAGGGTATGTGTGTGTTTGTTTGTGTGTAGGGTGTGTGTGTTGTCTGTTGGAGTGTAGGGTGCATGTGTGTGTGTTCATGTGTAGGGTATTTGTATGCGTGTCTGTGTCTATCTGTGGGTAGGATGTGTGTGTGTGTTTGTTGGTATGTAGGGTATGTGTATGTATATTCGTGCGTAGGTATATGTGTGTGTCTGTTGGTGTTTAGGGTATGTGTGTGTGTGTCTGTTAGTGTGTGTGGTATGTGTGTGTGTCTGTTGGTGTGTAGGTTATGTGTGTGTGTCTGTTGGTGTGTATGGTATGTGTATGGTATGTGTGTCTGTTGGTGTGTATGGTATGTGTATGGGTGTGTGTGTCTGTTGGTGTGTGTGGTATATGTGTGTGTCTGTTGGTATGTAGGATATGTGTGTGTTTGTTCATATGTAGGGTGTGTGTGTTTGTTGGTATGTATGGTATGTGTATGGATGTGTGTGTCTGTTGGTGTGTGTGGTATGTGTGTGTGTGTTGGTATGTAGGGTATGTATGTGTTTGTTCGTGTGTAGGGTGTGTGTGTCTGCTGATGTGTATGGGTGTGTGTGTCTGTTGGTGTATAGGGTATGTGTGTGTGTGTACTCATAAATGTAAAGGCCAGAGACTGACACAGGTTATCGTCCTCAGTCACTCTCAGCTGCAAGGAACCAAACTGACTCTGAAGCAAACTCCTGGGATTGGCCTGTCTCTACGATCCCTGCCCTGGGTTAAATGAGTGTATGTCTATGTCCGTCTTTTTTCCCCCCTCACATGGGTGTTGAGGATTTGAACTCAGGTCTTTATGATGGTATGGCAGGTAGTTTACAACTGAGCTTCCCTTCCCCAGGTTACAAACTTCTGATGATGCCCATGTTGGGATCTCTCTCTTTCTTAGAGTCTAAAATGTGATGGTGACCAGGTATCTTTCTGTCACCTCGTGCAGAAGAGTTTCTACGGTCATTCTGTCGTCTTCTCTTTATACAGCTTGGCTAAAGCAGGAGAGTTCTTCCGGGGCTCAGTTTTTCTCCTCTGTCCAGAAAACACCATTTTATCGTGCTATTAAGGTGTCAATTAGTCATTTGATGTGAAAATACTTGCTTGGTTCCATGTTATTTGGGGCATTCTTAGTCACACTTTATCTAATGATATATCTTAAAGCCAGTGGGCACCCTCTTATCCCATACTTGCTGTGTATTGGAAGCAGTGGCCTTGATAGCTAAAAAAGGTTCCAACAAGAAATATCTGTTGGTGATGGGGTATAATTCAGAGGGAGAAAAAGAAAAGGAGGTTTTACTGATAATAACTCAGCATGTATAAAGTTATACTGATAATCCAATGTGCAAAAAACTTACCATTTGTATTAGTATTTAACAAGATATTAACTTAGAACGAAGTTAGTGTGCTCTTTGTCATCTGAAATTGTAATACTTTCTTTCACAGTAATAAAACATAAGACTTTGGAAAAGTCAACTATTAAGTAAAATAGGAACGTGAAGCACAACTTACAACTCCTGTAAACAAGCCTTAAAGAGGAGTTATCTTATAAGGCTTGGCAATGTTTGAACTTATGTATTTTTCCTTTTACCTGGAATATGGCCCCGACAAGTATAAAAGAATTCTTTGCAATAGTCTTTGCAGAGGAGCGGAAGTACTAGATCTCCATCCAGGACGTCTCTCTTGGGTGAGGAGAACAGGCTTTGAGAGTGTGGGGAGCAAGGAGCGCATTTGATCTCCTCCAGTAATTTGCCACATTCTGTGTTGTTGGTGGCAGAAAAGATCTGAAAGCCACAAATCAGAAACACATCTTGTTAGTCATGAGAAAAATGAGCTTTGTTGGGTTTTCTTAGCCCCCACCCCTTTGATCATGTGAGTAGAAAAGTCTAATTCAGGGAGAAAAAAAAAAGAATGACTACGTCACAATATAAAGTCTTTCAAAAGAACACACGTTATCTTTGAGGCCAGGGTGGAAAGACAAAGGTCAGAAGGGAACACACGGAAGCACTTCTTGCCTTTGCAGATCCAAGTGTGTGATCCTGTCCTTGTGCTGTTAAAATTGAGATGTTTATGGACTGTTGAATGTTTGATTCATTTATTCTACCCCAGAGCATATATTGAATCATATTTACCTTGAAAATTCTACACTGTTATCCAACTGTGTCCAAAGTGTAATTTAAAGATGTGGCTTATTTTGTGTCATGGGTTAAAAAAAAATCCATTTAATTCCTAAAGCCTCTAACAGGCTTTCAAAACTGTACTTAAATAGCATTTTGGTAAATTTCTGCTTGTTCCCAATCTGCATTTGGTACCACGCAAGTTCCTACACTTGCGTGTTCTATAAAAATATTCCAAACTGAACCAAATGGGCTTAAGACCCATTTTTAATATTCATTATATCTTAGCCAGGAAAAACTTTCTAGCTAGTTCCTTAGACATTTTATATGCATGAATAAACACAGGGTTTAATGAAAGTGCTTTTGTATAGTAGGTAGTGAATTTTCATGAAAAAGAAGACTTTTATTACTATTCTTACAATGATATGTCCTTTATTTTAGTAAGATTAATTCTGGAGGATTGATGATTCCTTCAAATTAATAAGTTGTAGGAAGACTAGATCTTAGCATCAGTATTCACTTAGAAAGCTGACTTGAGGAACCCTTCAATAAATATAGAGGACAATATCAGCCTAATATCTGGGAAATAAAATTAACGCTATCTAAATCAATCACTGATCTCCCTCCCAGCCACACTCTAAAATGCCATAACATGTATGAATTTTATACCGTTTTCAGCTAGGCATCTGCTTGAATATTTCTCTGGAACAATGTATTAAAATTAAAAGTTTGAAATTTTAGAAAATTGTTTAGTTCTCTAAAATAAGTATTTCTTTTATAAGTCGAGCTGATTTGAGTAAAGAATCTAGCCTCTGTTTTTCTGGATTATGATATCACAGGGTCATAAAAGCCCTAGATCAAAAGGACAAGGTAACCTAAAAAACAAATTGCATGGAGGTAAGTATTCAACAGTTTAAAGAGGCTGCCCAAGTTCAGAAAAAAAATGTGTATTATAACTACTTAGAGTATTCAAAAGTTATTAATCATGGTTGCATTTATATTTTAATTTTTATCAGTGTGTTTAAGTGACAATTGCTTAAATGGTCCAAGTTTTGTAAAAGAAAACATCCACCAGATACTTAGGGTTTGCATTCCAAGAATGTTTTCAATGTCTTTTATTGTCCAGCCTGGAATCCTCACCAGATCTATTCAATATGAATAGTGCTCCGCTTGGCTCTGTTTATTTCACATACAGCAGCCCTCCAAGACCTAAACAACTGTGGGGACCCGAAGCCAACTCCTGCTGCCTGAAAACTAGGCTGCAATTACCTTTTGCTTTTATGGAGACTATTCGTGCTTCTAGTTTTTTGTTTTTCTTTCTTTTTTTTTTTTTTTTTTTTTTTAAATAGTTGACACAGAATGGTCCCATGTTCTCTCCCAGCTGTTCTTTGGGAAGAGCTTGCTCTTAGTTCCTAAAGAATTCTGTCTTTTACAATTTTTGGAATGTGTCCTGCCCACAAGATTCCTCATCAAAAGTTTCACAAATAGGATTCAATAAATTATCTGAAATCAAGTAGAATAGTATTCTTGTTAAGGTTTGCCGCTGTTCCGGCCCAGCAGGATGGTAACATTTTACTCTGTGTGAGGTCTGCAATATAAACACCTATTTGAAGATAGATAGAGCCATCATTCTGGCTTTGGTTTCAATGAACCAATAGTCTTGCTGAAGTCAATTAAACTGACTCAGCCCAAGCAACAGCGTTGGTTTAGGCAGATGAGTTCTGGTGTGTGTGTTGGGTGGGGGGTGGTGATACCCCCCCCCCCCGTCTTTTCTTTCTTTCTCCCCTCCCACACGTGTATGCCAAGCACACAGGTTCTTAACTTAATACCTCACATTGCCATGAATCTTAAGAAGAAATTTAAGTTAATTTCCTGTTTCAATTTTTAAAAGCCAAATACAAAGTCATCAAGTTCTAGTGGTTTAGCTAAATATACTTTGGAAATCGTGTAAAACTTGCAAACATGATTACAGCCAGCCCAGGAAGGACTGAAGCTGTGGCTAGGACTCGTCTGTAATGTTTGGCAGCTTGTCCTTTAATCTTCAGCCACGAGAAAGTAAAATCTGTGGAAGAAAGGTAAGTGCTGGGACAGAAGAAAGCCCACAGCTACAGCGCATCAACAGAGAAATCAGCACAAAGAGGCACCCACATGGGTTTCATGAAGGGATAAAAGTATAAAATACGCGGCAGTATATTCAGATGCTGCCTTAAGATCACTTGGTCCACAGAAAAGCTATCTCTAAAATATCCCATGCCTCCAAGACTGTTCAGCTGTAGGGCAGAACACACGCGCCTCTGGATTATAGTGCTGGATTATGTCATTAAAGAGTTCAGTTTCAATTTTAGGCTAATATGTAAATAGATCATTGTACGAAGGCAGCTGTTAAAGGGACCCCAGGATGAGTTATTTGTTTAGTTGGATGTGTTCAACAATAGCCTTTGTCCCGGGGAGAGCCTGAGCAAACAAATGATTGTAAAAGGCACACTTGAAAACAGTTACTCTTCACCCATTCCTTGACAGCTTTGGCTGTGAAACCACCAAGGCAGGGAGAGAGGGGGGGGGAGAGACTCTGCAAGTTAAGTTTTAGAAATGGGGTATTTTGGTGGGCTGTAGACTCAGCTTGGCTAATGAGAAATAGATTCTTTTAGCATGCTATATTTAGAATCTGCAGCAAAATTTCTAAGACAACATAACCTACTAGATGTTGGTATCACTCATGTCTCATCATAGTTAATAATCTCATTACATTTCTTAACATTATTAAAACCTACAGGAAACTCAAACATAAGAACCTAGTATGGAGCCTAAGGAATTGAACTTAATTTTAGCTCACCAAAGAAAGTCTGTTAGCCTACCAACTGGATTTAACTTCTTAGCAGAGCATGCTCAGTCTTCTGACCTTTTTCTTACTATTTGTCTTTGAAATCTCTTCTCTGATGAAAAGCTACTGTAGTACTTTTCCTGAAAAGTTGCAGAAATGCAAATATCTTTTCTGGAATTTTTTGTAAACAACAACAACAAATGACTCAGCTGGTGTGTGCCATCATCCCTCTGGCACACACATTTATGAAATGAACCCTAACAGATGTTATAATTTAGGAAGACTTATGGGGGAAAGGGAAACACTTGTATTTAAACTGTGAAAGTTTGAGAACACAGGTCAAGAACCCATGGGCATGACTGTAGCAAGTCTCTTGCCTTGGGTACCTGGGGTACTGTTTGCTTGTGAGTCACTTGCAATAGAGGGGCAGAGCCTGCAGAATCCAGCCTGATACAGACACATTTTCCAAAGGAACTGGAATTTGCAGGAGACTGGAAAAGCTTAGACAAGAATATGCACAGCTAACATGGCAGATCTTTCCTAAAGAATTGTTTTTTTTTTTTTTTTAAATTGTAGCTTCTCTGAAGGATTATTAACTCTCCTGTCTGCCCCTTTGTCCCTTCTCTCCACTATAGTAAGAGCAAAGTTTGCATTCCACATTTCTGGAAGAGGTCAGTAGTCTCCGGATCCTCATTATAATCACAGCATACACTAACACAGGAACACTCCACGGTGAGTAAATATTTCTACACCTTTCTCCGAGCTTCCCCTTGGGGGTGGGGGTGGGGACTCCTGGTGAAGTCTTTAAGATGCTCTGACTGAGCTGTTTCTGTAGCTTCATTCAATTAGGAGGCTGGGGCTTAATGACATTGTTGCGGATAAAATGCTGGCGTATCTGTTCCCGCATCTCAGGCTACTGCTGCATATGGTAAGAATAAAGAGCGGGCTGCAGCTGAAACCTGCAGCAAGACAGCTCCCGCTCATCTGGGAATAGAGTGAGTTAGACAAACGCTCCCTCAAAAGGCATGAACATTTGGACAGAGCTGGGGACTGAAAGAGAATGATGTTCTCTAGTTTCACCCATTAGTGAACCAACTAACAAATACAATGGTGGTGTTGTTAGTCTTTGGCCATAAGCAACAGGACGCTGTGTGTGGGCAGCAGTTTAGTGGGGAGGAGGATAAGTCGACCCCTTTTTGTCCTATTGATTTTTTCCCTATTTGCATGACTTGAGCAAATTAAATGATGCAATATGGCTTTTTGTTACAAAACAAAGTGAGAGGTACCACCCAGACACATATGTTGATTCGCAGGAGCTGTTTACATGATAATAGGGTGAAGTCTACCGTGAACTGAGCATAAAAATTAGATTCAGCCTGGGCATTTTTTTAAAAAAAGCCTGAGCCAGCAAGAGTGGAGCACAAGTTTTCCGAGTCTCTCAGACCTTGACAACTGCAGGGTTGTAACAGAGGAATTCTTAATTAAAGTTAAAATGGGCAAAGACAGGGGGAGCAGAGACACCTGATTGTCTATCCCCCGTGAAGTGATTGCTAATGACAGGATCCCACAGACGGCACACAGCCAATCCCTGTTAAAAAAAAAAAAATCTCATGCAGAATCAAGACCAACGACATCTCGCACTGGGCAGACACTTCATGGCTAAACTAATCAACGCATGGGAAGTGCATATGTCCATCACTCATAAAAAATGAATTTCTAGACAAGATCCTTCTAGACAACGCTGTACCGGCGAAAACCTGGATTTCTAATGCTACAAGACGGAGAAACCACTGAGCAGGAGGCTCCAACAAAATCTCCCAGTTCTTAACACACCAGGAGTTCCCTTCCGCTGGTTTAACCATTGTCATTCAAGCTAGACTCTTCAGCAGCCCGGGCTTGGGGATCATAAACCAACAGTGCCTCGATAACCTTTAGAATCCAAGCCGCTCACTAGTTAGAGCACGTGGAGAAAACAGAACAAATCTTTTCTACCCCAGAAAAATAAACCGGAAACCACAGCTACCCTAATTTACAGTTCCACCTCACCAAGAGCTCGATTTGATCCAAACTATACTGTTAATCCCGATTTAAAAAAAAAAAAACATATTCACCCAGCCCAGGACGCGGGTACCTCAGAAACGTCTCTCTTGAGATAGGCAAGTTTGACCAACATCCCCACAACAGACTCCAGGAGAGGGAGAGCTATCTGCACACCTCCCAGGAACACACACGGAGAACGCCTAACCATCGTAGAAAAGTTATAGAAGCTATGGAAACGAGTTTAGCCTCTCTTGCAGCTACCAGCATCTCAGCGAGCCACCTCTGCGAGCGCCTACCTTGTTCTCCAGACGCCCCAATGCAATACTGTCACTCTGCAGGCAGCAGGATACTCTGGGGTAGAAGCCACCACACAGGATCTCTCCTCCACTCAGCAGCTCCAGCTGGGTCATCATCCGCCTGTCTCTCCTCTTTAGGCGCTTCGGGGGGTTCCCATTCAGGCACCTTCTCCTCCTCGCTCCACTCCCTTCGCTCCTTTCCCCAAACTTGGCATCTCCTTCAAAAAAGCCCAGAGCCACGGCCAGCAGTAGCAGCTTAAACGAGAGCATCTTCAGCATCGTCTACCCGGAGCAGCAGTGGCAGGACGCGGGAGGATGGGGAGGCGAGGGGGGAAGGCCACTGCCCAGCAAGGGCACTAGGGCGCAGCTCCAGGGGAGTGCAGCGGGGCGGCGGGACGCTCCAGAGGCCGAGGGAGGTGGCAGGGGAGAAAGATGCGGAGCGCTGCAACTTTGCCCTAGGGCAGCCGGAGCCGCGAGATAAAGTGCAGATGACACTGTCCGCAGCCTTGCCAGCGTCAGTTGGGTTAGGGGCTTTCCGCAGCGGCTGGGAAGTGGGAGGAGAAGGAGTTGGAAGAGGAGGAGGAAGGAGAGAAGAAGACAGTCATGGAACTTCGCTGGTCCACTCAATGGGAGTTGTTTAGGTGAGACAGTAGCAGGAACCGAAAGGGCGGCGGCGGCGGCGGCGGGCCGGGCGGAGGCAGGGCCAGAGCTGGGCTCCCGAGGATGCTGAGGTCTCCTCGGTCGGCGGCTGCTGCTTCTCACACAGCCTCTCATGTTTCGCTCCCTCTTTTCTTCTTCTTTTTAACTAGCGCGCGGGGAGGTGCTGCCACCGCGCGCCCCTTGACGTCACCACCGCTCGCGCGCCCCCGCGCGGGGTGGGGGAGAGAGGAGGGGGCAGCCGGCCCGGGAGCTAGCGCTTGCTGGGACCCAGGGTGGCCTCGAGCTGCGACGGGGCGGGGACCGAGGGGTGGGGGGCCGGAGGCAGGATAGGGGACGGGCGAGGGGGGCGGGGAGCCCTCAGAGCCAGCCTCCGGGCTTCGGAACCCAGAGCGCCACCGTGCCGGGGTGGGGGTGGCCCAGTCGCACTGCCCAGCCTGGGCCGAAAGTGCCTGGGGGCCTCGCTGCCGCTCAGGGCGACCGGGCTGAGGCTCCGGGACCCTGTGAGTAAGAAGGCACCACGCAAGGTGAGAAGGGAGGGATCTTTCCCTGGCTTCGCCCACGCTGGTCTTGGTTTGGTTACCTAGCCCAGAAAGAGATGGACTCCGTGGGCTGGAGACCGCTGCTGGGAGCTTGTCCTTTCCTTCTCCTGCAGGCATGACAGTCGCAGCTGATCCCCAACGATCCCCGAGATTTGAAGACAAGAGAGGAACCCAGATGTTGTAGGTTTTTGTATAGGTTGAGGGGCCACCCACGGGTCCTAATTGAAGTTCCTGGAGCTACTGTACTAGTAGGGTTCGGTATCCCAGAGCAGGCTACAACTGAATCCTTCTCCAAGCGGACTTAGGTAGGACAATCTTGAGGGACCACCTGTAACCCCAGACTAAGTCGCCTGGGAGATACCTGTAGCTTTGTGTGCATTTATAAAGTACATGCGTGCGTGTACACACACACACACACACACACGCACAAACTTTCTGGTGTGTAAATACAGAGGAGGAAGAGTTTAGTCTTTGAAGCAAAGTGCAGAAGCACAATCCCACGTAGCTCTGTGTACGAATAAAATCACCTTTCCCCTAAGAGGACAAGTTCTGCCTAGAGCGATGTTGACATTACCAAGAGCTGTGATTTCATGTTTACTGGAGGCTCGCAAGTTGTCACTGGGATAAGCCTCCCAGGAGCCACACACGAAATGTGCTTTTTGTCTATTTGGTTACTAAACAGGGAAGTTGATTTCCTGGTGGATGACGTGATGAGGAGATAAGGCTGTTTTCCCATTTTGGCAATAGGGGAATGTTCACCATATTTGGACACATATTTCGCCAGCTCCCGTGAAAGTTGGTGGTGGTTGAGGCTGGTAACTGACTCCTTAGGAAGTGGTATCAGTGGCTAGGTGAGCCTTGCTCCTTTCAACCCCTGAATTCTTAATTACAGTTTATATGTGAAGTTAGAGTTTCTAAGCAACACAAATGACCTGTTAGAATAAACCTAGAGTCCACTGAGACATTTGGCCTACCCCTCAGCTAAAGCAAATGCCCTGGAGCCAAACTTAACCCCTTTTCCAGATACTGTCATGCACTATTGTGTACATGGGCACCATCGTCATGCACTATGGTGCACATAGACACTGTCATGCACCACTGTATACATGGACACTGTCATGCACCACTGTATACATGGGCACTGTCACGCACCACTGTATACATGGACACTGTCACGCACCACTGTATACATGGGCACTGTCACGCACCACTGTATACATGGACACTGTCATGCACCACTGTATACATGGGCACTGTCATGCACCACTGTATACACGGACACTGTCATGCACCACTGTGCACACGGACACTGTCATGCACTACTGTGTACACGGACACTGTTATGCACCACTGTGTACACGGACACTGTCAAGCACTATGGTGTACATATTATTATAGTGAACATACCCTAAGCTTCCACATGGTTTATCTAACATTCTTCCTGCTTAGAAATCATTGATGATAAACTAAATCCCACATGGGTTTTAAGCTCTCCCACTAGGAGTTCCTGAGATGAGTTCTGTCATGATCAAGCCACTGGCACAATTCCATATGATCTGGATCCCAGAACCTTGTCTAGAATGTGTTTAGGGATTTATTCCTAAATTTTAGTTTAATGTCTTACCCTAAAATGAAGATCCCTCTAAAATCATATCTCAGTGATTGGCACGCCCACTCTGAAACGATAAACTGATGTAAGTAGTGTCAGGCAGGCCTTCCTGTGCAGTGCGCTCCCAGGGTAAGGGCACCTAGAGTGAATTAGTACTGGGTTTTACAAAATGATGCCTCTGTTATAGGCTAAGATCCTAAATGTCAAAATGCTGATCACTTATAAATGATCAAAAGGAGACAGGCATTTTTTCCTTCTTTTCCTTTTGGGACAAAGTATCATGCACCTCAGGATGGTTGTATACTTTAAGGATAACAGTGACTACGGATCCTTCTGCATCTACTTCCTTAATGTTGGGATTACAAATGAAGACCCATCACACCTGCCTGAGGCAGTGCTCAGAGTACAATCTCAGGGCTTCCAGAGACTCAGGATAGAATCAAACACAGAAGTGGCCAAAATAAAAACAAAAACAACAAAACAACACACAACGAAGTGATTCCTAATGGGTTCTGCTGTTCTTATAGACTGAGGCCTCAGCTGTCATCAGACAGGCCGCCTTTCACACATGATGGGGGAGAGGAATTGTAGGAGCCAGAGGGGAGAGCAAGACCTTTGGAATCAACTGAACAGTGCTCATGGGGACTCGCAGACACCGAGGCAGCAATTGCAAAGCCCGCATGGGTCTGCACTAGGTCCTCTATGGTTGTCGGTTTGGTGTTTTGGGGAACTGACAGTGGAAGTGGGGGTGTCTCTGACTCCTTTGCCTGCTCTTGGGACCCTTTTCCTCCTAATGGGTGGCCTTGCCCAGCCTTGATATGAGGGTTTGTGCCTGGTCTTATTGTATCTTGCTGTGCCCTGTTAAGTTGATGTCCCTGTGAGACCTGCTCTTTTCTGGGAGGAGATGGGCCATGGGAGCGAATCTGGGAGAGATGGGGGGGGGGGGGGGGGGGAACCGGAAGGAGTAGAAGGAGGGAAAGCTGTGGTCAGGATATATTGTATGAGAGGAAATCATTTTTAAAAATTGCAGGGCTTCATACATGCAAACACTTTACAATTGAGCTCCATTCCTTCCCTTGTTCCATGCTGACACATGCACCTGGAACTGACCCATGAGCAATTCATCACAAAAGGCAAGTAATCAGGTTCCTTATAGGACACTGGGCTTATTCCTTGTGTCACTGATACAATTTCTTTCTTTTTTTTGGTGGTGGTAGGGATGTTTTTGGTTTTGTTTTGTTGTTGTTTTCAAGACAGGCTTTCTCTGTGTAACAGCCCTGGCTGTCCTGGAACTCACTTTGTAGACCACACTGGTCATGAACTCACAGAAATCTGCCTCCTTCTGTCTCCTGAGTGCTGGGATTAAGGGCATGTACCGCCACCGCCCGGCATGATGCAATTTCTAAACAGTACCTGACTGTTGTTTCACAGGTGGACTAACTTCTGATAGTTTCCCTCAGAAGACAAATTAAAAACTTTGCTCCCAGCAAATCAACCATCTAATGTGTTTGGTTGTTTTTAATCTTTGTTCTTTTGGGGGCCCGCTACCCAGCTCCCAAATAAGTTGCAAGGAGGCTTATTCTTTCTTATACAGTAGTATGTTTCTATCCAACTTTCCTTAAATTATCCCAACTACCTTTTGCCTCTGGGCTTTTATCTTTCTATATTTTTGTATACCTTTCTTTATTTCTTTACTTTACTGCATGGGTTTGCTGTATAGCTGAGTGGCTGACCCCTGAAGTCCTCCTCTCCTCCTCTTCTCACTCCTCCATCCCTCCCCTCCCCAGATTGCTCCTTCTATTTATTCTGTCTGTCAGTCCTGTGTTTCTTTTCTCCTGCCTTGTTATTAGCCATTCAGCTCTTTAGTAGACCAAGCAGGTGTTTTAGACAGCAAAGTAACACAGCTTCACAGAGTTAAACAAATGCAACATAAAAGAATGCAACACATTTTTTTGCATCATTAAACAAATGTTTCACAGCATGAACGAATGTAACACATCTTAAAGTAATATTCAACAGCAATCTAATTTCTTAGGAGTCAAGGATCAACACTGGGGTGTTTCCTAAGATCAAAGCCTCATTGGAGGTTGCGGCAGGGGAGCAGAGCCCTTTGCATACCTAGACAAGTCGGAAGGCTCACTTTCAGCCCTTATGCCTTGTTTAAGAAGTGTGAACACGCTGCATTGATTTTCATCCATGCATTGTTGATAGCCATCAGAAATTTTATCATGTGTGAATGAGCAATAAGCGCCAGACCCGGGAATTAGACGCTTCTCTTTTTGATCACCCCGACTGAGTCTAATTTGGTCTTGTGTACGTTACTGTGACCACCACTCTCAATAAGTGTTACGCACTGGCCATCTCACTTGACCTGACACTTTTTTTTAGAGGTTTCCAATGAATTAAAAGATCTTTTCAAATGAAATGGCAGACTACAGTGTGACTCCGCAGAGAAAGACCACACATCATTTAACAGT